TTGTGTTTGGCGTCCTTCTGATTTTTTTTTCAGGGTGCCCTAAGTGTTCTGTATTCAGCTTTAAAGAAATTACAAAAATTTAACATTTCAGCTCTTTTACAAATGTAATTGGGCATCCTGAATTTTAATTTGCTAAATCTGGCCACCTACTGGCTGGCTGGCTGGCATTTTTAGGCACACAAGGCAGATACCAGTCTTTGGGCCAGCATCAGGGCCAAGTTCCAGGTGGAGCAAGTGGCGTGCTCACTCTCAGGCTCTGGGGGTGCACCTCGCCCTCAGTCCCTGCCTTGCAGGAGAGCTCAGGAGCACACCTCGCTGGCTTGACTCCTCGGGTTGAACCTCGGTGCAGCGGACCCCAGAGTGGCCAAGTTCATACGCTAGGAGCTTCTGCTTTATGCATTTGTGAACTGTACTCCAGACCCGGGTCCCTCCCAGATATGTAACTTGGGCAAACTGCTGCCCCTCCCTGAGCACTCCTCTGGGAATGACTGCCAAGTTGTTGTAAAGATTAAATAAAAACAAATTCCAAGTGCCCACAACAGGGCCGGCGACATAATCAGCCCTTGACAATGACGAGCTGTTTCAATAGTGTTGCCATTTCAGTGGCTAAACTAAGGCAGTGCAGATCGCAGAACCCCAGCTTTCTAGGTCTCCATCACTTTTCAACGTCCCTTACCAGCTTTCTTTCCAGGAAGTGGAAAGAAACGATGAAGTAGGAGTTGGGCACCAGATGCTGAGCTGAGCTGTGTGTGTGCACTATCTTGTTTAGTTGGGTGATGTGCACTGGAGAGGACACTGAGGCCCGGGAGGTGAGAACGTGGACCCGAGTCTATACCACCAGCCACAGGGCGGTGGCTGGGAGGGATCCCAGCCTGGCAGCCTGTCTCCAGGTGGACCTGACTTCAAAGCCCACACACTAACCACTGTTATGAGGCCCTGGTGTCCGCCCAGACACCACATCAGCCCCACAAGGCTCCTTCCCGGTAATTGAAGGGCGGGAATGCCCTTCCCAGGCTGGGCCTGTCGGTATCCTTAATGAGATCTTTCTCACTCTGGCTTCCCATTCTTTGATCTCCTTTCCTATGGAGCCATTTTCTTCTGAACATGAGAGGACACCGTAAAGAAGGGTTTTCTGGGAAAGCGATGTATTTGTGGGGGAGGGAGGGTTGGGAAGCTGCCCTGCCCTCTGGGCCTCAGCAGCCTTGGAGAGCACGTTCCTCACATGCCTTTGCTCTTCCTCCGCCCTCTGTGCGGAGGTCACACCAGCCTGGCCGGCTGCTAACTGGCCCTTCATTAGATGTACCTTCAGGCCCCGCCCGGTCAGAAGGGGCTGAAGTGCTCAGCCTGGAACTGCGCCTTTCCCTAGTTGTTTTCACCAGGCCAATCTGGTTTCCCACCCGCCCTCGCCCCTCCCTCTTCCTTCCTCCCCAGGCCAACCCTTTTGTTTGCTTCTTCCCTTTTCATTTTCCCTGGTTTCCAAGAGGTGCTTGGTGAGCAATTGCTTTTTATAATGTCACGGTTAATAAGAAGCCTGAGATTTGGAGTCAGGCGGACATAGGCGTGAATATTAGCTTTACACCTTACTGCAAGGCCATGTAACTGAGGTCAGGGAGCCTTTGATCCTCTCTCCCTAGATTCTTTTCTGGGACAAGGGCCACCTCTGGCACACAGTTGTGGGGAGGATGAAATGAAGTGATGGGGAACAGCACATACTCCCATTGTTGGGATATAGTGAGAGCTCACAGATGACGCCCACCATTCTTTCTTGTTTTTTTTAAAAAAATAATTTATTGATTTTTTTACAGAGAGGAAGGGAGAGGGATAGAGAGCTAGAAACATCGATGAGAGAGAAACATCAACCAGCTGCCTCCTGCACACCCCCCACTGGGGATGTGACCGCAACTAAGGTACATGCCCTTGACCAGAATTGAACCCAGGATCCTTCAGTCCTCAGGCCTACGCTCACCCCCCCCCCCCCCCCCCCCCTTTTTTTTAGTTTCTAAAACTGGCTAAGTGTCTCCTAGCTCCAGGGCACGGGGAAGAGCCCATGGACTTCCTGTTACCACACCTCCCTGAGCAATCAGAAACGGGGCTGCATCACAGCCAGTGTCAGTGCTGCTGACCAATCTTCAGTTCACTCTGGCTGTCTGTGCTCGTGGCAAGTATGGTCATTGGTGTGAGACATTCTATTGACGAGAAAACAGTCAAGAAATGGTCTTGGTCCACTGATGAGCTCACGTAGCAATAAATAATGTGGCCTCATGGGCAGCCACCCAAGACTCGGTAGTGTCCTAAATAAGGGGTATTGACCTGTGTTTGGACCGAGGCCTTTCTGCCTCTGGTAATGGGAGCAAATAGGCCCATTATCTTTAGAGTAATGAGCAAGGAAAGCTGAACTTGGCAAGTATTCGCTCAAATTTTCATTAATATCTTTTAAAAGTACCCTTACTGCAGAAAAATTGTTACGGAGCAAGGTAGTTTAGAATTTGGAGTTAGGACCTATTTCCTGCTTTTCTCCTAATAGCCCTATGACCTTTGGCTAATTACTTGACCTGCCTAATTCTCAGATTCTTTATCTGTAAAATGGAGATAATCCTATATAATAAAAGCTAATATACAAATTAACTGAATGGTGGAATGACCGGTTGCTATGACAGGCAATGACCACCAGGGGGCAGATGCTCAATGCAGGAGCTGCCCCCTGGTGATCAGTGTGCTCCCACAGGGGGAGCGCTGCTCAGCCAGAAGCCAGGCTCACGGCTGACGAGTGCAATGGTGCTAAGGACCCCCCATGGGAAGTCCCCTGGGGAACAGGCCTAAGCTGGCAGGTGGACATCTCCCAAGGGGTCCCAGACTGTGAGGGTGCAGGCCGGGCTGAGGGACCCCCCACCAGTGCACAAATGTTGTGCACTGGGCCTCTAGTAGCACTATATTCCTCATGGAGCTGTTGTGGGGATTAAATGAACATAACCTGTGCAGCCCTTCAGCCGTGGCCTGGCCCACACCGGACATAATGCAACAAGTGCTGGCTCACTTCCGCAGGGCATGCTCTTCTCTTCTCCGGGTGGCCCAGGGTGGGGTGGGTAGAAGGCAGAGTCCCCGGAAAGACCACGGGACTCAGGGGCAGGGATGGAGTGACACGCATGAGACAGGGACTCACAAACTTGGAGTTGGAAGATGGCAGTGTTGCATTGTCTTCTAGGAGTTTTCTCTTTGGAAATGACTAGCGCCATGCCCTGTGAGATCACAGGGACGATGAGGGACTTGCCTGGTCCCCAACATGGGCAACAGCACCTCCTCCGTTCTAACCCGGGCCAGGGCTGCTCAACTGGCATCGAGCAGGTTTCTTACGGACGTGGGACAAGGTATGGGACAAGGTAGGCATAGACACTGCGAGTCAGCGGTTGGGAACTGACTGAAACCTGACCGGGTACTTTTATGTCAAATAAATCTAACAATAAGCAGCAATGCCTATTTTTGTATGTTGTTATTTCCCCTATTTAGCAATACATTTTTTAAAAAATTAACCTTTGACCTTAGTGACTCACTTGTATTTTGCTTTAAAAAACTATGTACCACATGGTTGAAAATTAAAACAGTGGTCATTCACCTCTGAGCTGAGAACAGCACCACCTAGAACGACCCAGACTTTTCTCCAGGCGAAGCCATTGTTCTAGGTCTCACAGTCCTTCAAGGCAGACATTTGAGGAAAGACTTTAGTTTGAGTCTTTGTTCCTAAGAACAGGCTAACCTACTCATTTGAAAAAATTCTGGAATTATTATTGTGCATAGTATTAAGCTTTTATAAATATAAGGAAGAATTTTCTCACATATAGGGAAAAATTAAACATCAAGAACAGTAAGTTAATTTTTAAATCCACCTTGTGAAATGCAGCACAAACCTTTATGAGGAAGATGGATATATATTGACACAGAGTGAGGCCCATGATGTGTGAGGTGAAAAAGCAGTTGTAAAACTGTACTCGGAAAATGATGCTGTATTTTAAACAAAAAAACTATGTGCATGAAAAAAAATCTGAATTAAAATACAATAAATGTTATCTGGTAATGTTTGGCTTATAGGGCATGATAGTTTTTATGTTATATATCTGCTTTGTGTGTGCATTTAACATTTTTACCATGAGTACATTTTGTAGTAGAAAAGGAAGTTTCATGTTGAAAAACTTACCTGCCACTTTTTCACTTTTTGGTTACTAATAAATGTAACAATGAAGTGATTTAGACATGTTTTTCAAAAAAGACTGGGGCAGAGAGAGTCATCAGATAGCGGACCCACTCTGCTTCCATTTCCACACCATTTTTTGCCATCTGGGAGCCAAACTCTACTTGTGCTTGCAAGGTACACTGGCAATTCTGAGTATACCATGTCTTGAACAGGAAAAGGTCATTTTCATGAAAGGTACTTGCTTGGAAATATGAAGATCTCCCTGTATTTCATTTCCCACTCCCTCTTCCCGTTGTGCAGGATAGAAAATGTCAGGTGAAATGTTTTCTTGAGTTTAAAAGACCTGTTTGCTAGTCACCAAGACTAGGATGAATTACATGTTAGAAGAAAACGGCCTCAAGATTAGAAAACCCTAAAGACTCCTTTAGTCTGGCATAGTGGCCTTCCCACACTTTTGGTATTAAAATGTGCTGTGACCACAAAAAAAAAAAAGATTAGAAAACCTAAGCATTCACATCAGTGAGGCAGTACACCACTGCATTTCATCAATTCTAAGACTAGTTCTTGTAAGACACAGCGTTATTTTATGCATCACTAAGAAAGAAGACTATCAATTCAACTAGAACATGCCATCAATCAAGACGCACCTTGCTTTCAGGGATGTGAACATAAAAAACTTGCATCTTGAAATCAATAAAATATGACAACACTTATGTAACTGAGAATCTGCAATCCTGTCCAAGATGATTACTGGAAGGAGAACACCTTACACTGCTGTGTGCGACATGAACTTAAATGGAAGAACACGGAAACATTTCAGTAGCACACTTCAGTTTATTGACCTATGTAAAAATAATAGGTCTTAAAAAGTCAGAACAGTAAAAGAATATGCAAAAGGTATTTCTGTTTCTAGAAGGCTATACAAGTATGCAAAAGGAATGTTATTTTTTGCATGTCTTTTTTTGTTCCAATTCCCCTCCTCCCCAAACTTCATTTTTAATGATACAAATGACTAAGGACCAGTTTAACAAACCCACTTTATGTAAATAATACATGCTTTGGAATATAGATAGAAAAAGTTCCAAAAAGTTGTTCAGAAACTGCTCTAGTCACAATATGAACAAGAAACCTGTAGAAAAGGGGGAAGGAGCACCTGTTATGGAATTCTGAAGCAGAGTAAAGAAGATCTGGAATATGGAAATATTTGTTTAAAAAACTCAGCCATACCCACAGCTAATTAGTTCTTCCACGGAAAGTATGAGGTAGTTTTAGCCTCATAATTAAATCTACCGCAGGTTGGAGTTTTTGTACTTTTAATGACTAATCTGGTTTGTGTCACTTGGTGACTTAGCACTACCTGTGGAATTCAGACAATAGCTTACTTTTCTAACAAGTCACCATTCTAAGGCACACAATTCATCTAAAATGATGTGCTTTTTTTTCTTTATTTTGTTTTGGGTTCTTTCCGTATCACCTCAAAATACATTTTCAAAATCTTGATCATAAACTTCCCATATCAAGTCTGCCATTTCAAATGACAGCCACGTTGGAGCGCTAACAGCCTGAATAACAGCTCCTCGTGCCACTGGAGCAGGAAGGAGGAGCGCGGGGACGGGGCCTGGATGCCCCCCAGCAGGTGGCCGGGCGGCCCCCAGGGGTCATCGCAGGGTGCCAGGCGGCAAGTCTGTCTGGAACCCGCTTTCGGGTGCTTATGAAACCATCATTCTTTATAAAACCTAAAAACATTTACACTCGTCAGAACTTCATGAAGACCCAGCTTCTCTTCAAGTAATTCTCCAATACTGTCCATGTTCCTGTCCGGGGAGCAGCGTCCGCCCGCAGCTCCCCCGCCGCTCCCTGAGGGCGAGCGTGGCCGCGCTGGCTCCCGGGCGCCGTTCTGACTTGTGCTCTGGCATCCCCGCCCTCGTTGCTCTTGGAGATCCTGGCAGCACTTTGCACAGTTTGGGTTTGCCTTCAACAACTTCACTCCCTGACAAAGTGCTCGCTGTTGAGGAAGCCGAGCCCTCCCTGGCCATGGTGGGCCCGGTGGCCCCCGCTGCCGGGAGGCAGGTGTCCGCGGGACTTTGTGCGGCTGAGGGTGGGGTTCACTGCGGGGCAAGGGGAGTCCTCTTTTCATCCTCTGATGCCAAACAGCCTTCTGGGAAGATGAACACCTTTCCAAGGCACACGGTGTGAGAGCGCAGGGCAGGGGGAGTCCGGCTCCGCTCAGACTAAGGTCCCGGGCTTGGAGTCTTCATGCCAGAGGAGCCCCTGCTCGGCCGCCTCCAGGCCGCCCGCCGGCCGGCCCCCGTCCGCGCTGTCCAGGGCCCCGGGCTCCGCGTACTGTCTAGGAAGGAAACCAGAACAGTCACTGCCTGGGCCATTTCTGTTCCCACAGTACAACCACCACCACTCAGAGAGGTTAGTAGAAAGCGCTGTTAAGAAAAGTATCCAAAACTTGGAAATCGGGAAGGAAGGCTGTCGTCCTGCATTCCATGCTGGAGGGTTAGTTCTCCGGAGGCACACACGTCTGTCTGACTCACACTTACCGCCGACTGAGACCAGGTTGTTCTAAGTCAGACGGTAACTCATAGCTATTTGTGTGGAGGAAAGAGAAGTGGCCCTGTCTAGTAGGAGAGATGATGGTAATGGTCGTACCGCCGGTGGGACGCCCACCGGTCTTGTACCTGGTGATTTCTCTGTGTGTGTGGAATACAGTCTCTGGTTTCCCCTGGAACCAGCTTTACCGTTACGTTAGTTCTCTCATAATGAGCTAAATAAGTCTGTGACACATGCCCGTTTTCCACTTATGTGAGAGCCATATTTTAAACTTTTTAAAAGGTATTTTTGACAGCCATATTTGAAGTGCTCTTCCAATTAAGGGACTACCCCAGATGCTTTCCTCCAGGGTAAAGAAATATATTTTGAGGGAGGCAGCAGCATCTTGGGACATATTTTAGATCCCTAGGGTTTATGGGTCAAGTGCAAATTGGAAATAATCATCATAAATATAAATTATAGGTATATCCCAATGAGAGCATCCTATTACACAAGCCATTCCAATAAGCAGAACCTCATTCTGTAGTAGGTTAGAAGAGGTTAGGTAGTTAGTAGATTTCCTTTTATTGAAATCGCAATGCCTTCTAGTAAAGGGAATAAACCACCTTCGGAGAAAGAGCTTTGGATATAAATACCAAGTGAATCCAGGCATTTAGTGCTTTCATATAATAAAGGAACAGTCGGATTTCCGTTAACTCCACACATCAGCCAGAGCAAGCAGGGCGCCTGCGATGCGAGAGGCACACGCAGACGGGGGCTGTACTTACAGCTGGCTACCCCTAGCAAGAGAGAATTTACCACTGCTCTCACTTCTGGAGACACAGCTGCTCTCTGGGACAGAAGCCCTTGGTTTTGCCTAGTGATAGGCAGAGTGAGACAGCGAAGAGGGAGGGAATGGAAAACGGGGAGTGAAAGAAAAGTTATTTAAAAACACCATTTGCAGCAGCCGAACCACGCTCTGACTATGCTGTATATCAGGTGTAACCTTGCTGACTGAGGGAAGTTTATGCCACTGACAATTCTCCCACACCCTGGGGGAAAAGATCATTAAATAACATGCATTTTATTCATATCGATCTAATCACTGATTTATTGCTAAGCATTTCAAATCTTTAACTGAAGAGAAGATCTACAGTTTTTCATCTTTACCTTGAAACCCAATTTCTCTTGTTTTAAAAATTACCTTTTCATCAATAATAACATGCAATTTTAGGGCAAAATTTCTAAAGCTTTATGGATGGTTGCTATTATACTTGCCTATTGAATTGAGGAAACTATATGATAATTTTTAAAAAATCCTAAACAGACATATGAGTGAAAATAAGCACTCCTATAACTGTGGCTGGGAGGATAAACTGGTAAACTTTTCTGAAAAGCAAGAGCTTTAAAAATATACTTTTCAATTTAATCCTTTATTCCTACTAATTGGAATAAATCCTAGGGAAATAATCTGGAATTTGGACAAATGTTTTGTACAAAGATATCAATAGCAGCATTACTTAACATAAAAAGAAAAGAAAATCCAAAACCATTCAAATTCAAAATATGGGTAATCTTTTAAAAAAGTATGATGTATTTATTAGTGGAATATCACACTGGTCACATAAAATAAAGATTAAAGAGCTTTTAAAATATGGAAATGTTTTTATGTTATATTAAGTGAATAATTGGAATGTAGAATTTCATATATGACTAAACATGTAAAACTGTTTATATGGTACCATTACAACCATGTTAAAAATGGATACAGAAAGATGGGGGAAATGTGCCAAAATGTTAATAGCTGCTATCTCTAGAGGGTGGAGTTATGGGTAAACTATTTTCTACTTATTTATCTCTTTATTATTTTCTTAATTTTCCACCATGAGCTCACATTAAGTGCATATGCACACACACAATAAGGATCTTTAAATAGTTCTAATTTCCTGCCCATTGTGCCCCTTGGACCTCAGACTGCCCTGTCCAGCCACCGAGGCTGGCTGAAGTACATGGCTGACTTGCTGAAAGCAGAGGTTCCCTCAAGACGCAGCACTTCCCGAGTCCAGTGAGAGCTGTGTAAAGGACACTATTACAGCTGCTTATACAGCAAGTGTTTTATGTCATCTCTAACTGGGTCAACAAAAGAGGAAAGTAGAAGTGCATAGCCCTGGCCAAGTGGCTCAGTGGGTTAGAACATCGTCCCAATAAGCCAAGATTGTGGGTTCGATCCCTGGTCAGGGCACATACAAGAATAAACCAATGAATGCACAAAGAAGTGGAACAACAAATCGATGTTTCTCTCTCCCTTCCTCTCTCTGTCTAAAAATCAATCAATACAAAAATTTAAGAAGTATATAAACGTGTATTATACAAGATGATTAGAACTGACTTGAAAAAAATCTACACAAATTCTGGGCCAAAATCATTTTAGTTCTTGCTCCTAACTCATTCTCAAGCATTATTTATAGAAATCTAAGCTATGTCATATCCTCTGAAGTATATTTTCATTAAAATTCTATTTTGAGCACAGCCTTTGTTGAGTTGAGACAATTGGACTAATATTGCAAGCCAAGAAAAACCCCTGCTGAATATAAAGGAGAAAAATAAGGCTTTTGGGGATGAATGTGTCCATTTGCTTGTAACACTAAGAGCTTTAATGAGAAACTATCCTCTGGAAGGCAGGGAAAGGTGGGTGGGAAGAGATCAACCAATGCATATATGCATAACCCGAGGACAGGAACAATGGGGTGTTGAAGCCCTGGGGGGGCGGGCAGGGGGGGCGGGGAGCGGGCAGAGAGGTTAATGGGAGAAAAAGGAGTACCTATGTAATACTTTCAACAATAAAAATTAAAAAAAGAAATTAACCTATCAAATTCACCAGTATAAAGCCCCTTATAAGTATTGCCTGTGTAAATCTCCCATGCCTGAAGCATCTGATTAAAAGAAAGCAAAATTGAATTTTCTAAAAATCCCAGAAAATGTTCTACTTCTGGACACGGTGGGTGTGAATGATATTCTATCAGAAATTGACAGGGAGACATGACCTCTTCAACCTTCACTTCTCTGTGACACGAATAATTGAAAAATGTGTCATTCAGAATTTGCAATCATTTTAACAATCACATTTTGACAAACCGTTCTTACATATTTCTTTAAATGTTTATAAAGAATTACTTTTTACAAACAGGACAGCTGGCTGTGTCTGTTGCTTCTTAATAAACATAGGGTCAGACACAAAAAGGCAGCAAGTGTTTGGAATGAAGCCGCCAACTGTTCATGAGGAATCCTGGCATGCACAGATTTTTCTGCAGCGGAGGTATGTCTCCTGCAAGGTTCCAGAAGAGTCTAAATCGATAAACCAATTACACAGTTTCAAGTACTGCAACTAAAATCAAAACCTTCAGACACAGAATTTAATGTACGGAACTCTAAGAACAGGGTCACATCTGAAGGAGCTAGATTAGGTGTCAACAAACTTTTCCTTAAAGGGCCAGGTATTTTGGGCTTTGTTGGCCACACGGTCTATCACAACTACTCAACTCTACCCTCATAGTGCAAAACCAGCCATCCGTAACAGGAAACGAATGAGCATGGCTGTTTTCCAATAAAACTTTATTTATAAAAACAGGTGGCAGCTGGTTTTGACCCACAGGTTATCCTTTGCCACCCTGGAGCTAGATATTTCAGCCTTCATAAGGAAAGTCAGGGCTGCTGGGTTCCTGTGACCTGGAGCAGCAGCTAGGGCAGCCGTGGGCAAACTACGGCCTGCGGGCCAGATCCGGCCCGTTTGAAATGAATAAAACTATTGAAAAAAAAGACCGTACCCCTTTATGTAATGATGTTTACTTTGAATTTATATTAGTTCACACAAACACTCCATCCACGCTTTTGTTCCGGCCCTCCGGTCCAGTTTAAGAATCCATTGTGGCCCTCGAGTCAAAAAGTTTGCCCACCCCTGCACTAGAGTGTCTGAGCGTTGCTTCCTCACCTGCCTGGAGAGGGCAAAGGACTGTAGAAGTTGCCGTAGCAGCTGGTGTAGGAAGGATGTGCTGGGGCCTCGTACTCAGAAAGCCCTACTGTCATCTGCGTCCTCCAGCTCCCGGAAACGTTTGTAGAAGACACTAGAAATAAAAATGAAAAAAACAGACAAAAAATTACCGGTAATATTTACAGTGAAAATTGTTTAAGCCATTTACATGCACTTTATCATCAGCTGTGTGCAAAACAGAGCTTAAGAACCAATGTCTGGAAACCACAGAGCTCCTATTCCAGTTCGGTCACTTACTGGCCGCATGGCTGTGGGCAAATAGCTTACCCTCATTAAGCTCAGGTTCCTCATCTGAAAAGTGGGGATAATGACACAGACACATTCTCATACAGGGAGCATCAAGATTAAGAATGGTAATGTATGAAAACACTCAGCACTGTTCCTGGCACGGAGGAGGCACTCAACAAATGATAACTGTTAATGCTATTAATGGGGATGAGGTAGATGAAAAGACATTCTATTTTACAAAAATACCAAAGGACGAGCCAGCTCTATTGAGACTCTCCCTGGGCTCTGGTGGCTGGCACGGGGCTTCGTCGGGGTAAGTGGCAGCTGAGTTCCTTTGCCTTTGGAGGAAGCGTTCCCCAGGTGAGCTGGGGCTTGACTGTTCCTCAGCCAAGGGCAGCCGGGCCACTAGGAGGATCCAGGCCTATTTCTTGCCTCTATGAGAAGGTGGACGGGTGGGGAAGGTAACTAGCATAGAAAGGATTTCAGGAAGAATAGGTTTAGTTCTACTGAGGGGCTGGCCTGGAACAAGGCAAGGGCCTAACTGGGAGCCAGCCCAGCGAATGCCTCGCCACTGGGCATTTGCCATCCTCCCTAAAGCCAGCCCTGCTCCACACCTAGGTGCCCAGGCGACCACAGTGCCAGGCTAGTCACCCAGGACTCAGATAACCAGCACTGCTCAGGGGTCCTTGCAGCTGTCCTCATTTCCGTTCCTGGCAGCCAACTCCTCCTCCTCTCTCTCACCCACACAGCACTGTGACCCGTGTGAGATCAACATCCCCAAAGCCCGATGCCACAGGTTTTGACCCAAAGATGTCACACTCTTGCTGTAGCTTTGGGAACGTTTCACCAGTCTCCGTGGTTAGGTCCACGCTGGGATCGAACTCCCACTCGTCACTTACTAGCATGGGGCTTGGGCAGGGCCATTTGCACTCTTTAAGCCAGATGTGGCTCACCTGTACAATCAGGATGATAAAAATAAACACAACAACATCCATGAAATGGGATCATGCACACAGAGTGCTGCTGCATGCACCGGGTAAGACGACAATACACGAGGCTGCCCTTACTACTCAAACTGAGTCACCGAGAGCTTTTAGGTGGCTGGAAGGAACTACAAACCCGATAAGCTGGCAAAACATCGGAAACCTATCTGTGCATGAGAATGATACATGCCTGTGGTAATACATTCCTTTAGCTGTAAAATATAAGCAGGACTGAGGAAAATTCCCAAAGGAGTTCTGGGAGCACTGGTTTCCCTCTCTCATTGCAGAGAGGCCATCTCTCAGTCCTTAGAAAGTGGTGCCTTTGGCCGGTGGAGCCAATCCAGCCGGTGTCAGCAAGGCTCGCACCGGGTTCAAATCAGGATGGGGTAACGCCATCTCCCTGGCCCCCAACAGAGCCAGCTGCTTGGGGTGTTGCCGGTGCTGAGTCCCACCTGCCGCGCCCGGCCTCCCCGTCCAGGGGGCACTGCCCAGCCCTGTGCCCGAGCCGCCCGCGCCGGCCGTGCTTGTGTTTCCATGAAGCACTCGGCCCAGGTTTGGTTTCTGAGTTTCTCACGACGCCCTGAACTTTAGGGGAAGAAAGGCGTTTTCTAGATCAGAGCCATAAATAACAAGCAGTTACTACCGGGGCCTTTTCATGTGTTAGATGTGGTGGCAGACAGGAGAGCACTAGCGGAAGTCCAAAGTCCTGCACAAATAAAAGAACTCAAACCCAAACAGAGATCTCCATAGCAACGCCTCTTGTCAACAAGCTGAGGAAACCTTTTTTAACCCTTACCCGAGGATATTTTTCCAGTGATTTTTAGGGAGAGTGGAAGAGAGAGGGAAAGACAGAGAGAAACACTGAAGTGAGAGAAAACACATCGATTCGCTGCCTCCTGCACCAAGGTACATGCCCTTAATCAGAATCAAACCCAGGACCCTTTGGTCCACAGGCCGGCGCTCTATCCACTGGGCCAAAGTGGCCAGGACAACAAGCTGAGGAAACTTTTAAAGGAACAGTCTTCATTGGCTATTACTCCATGGTTGGGATCCCTGTGCACAACTCACTAGACATGCTTGAAGGAGGGGGCAAGACTCATGCCCTGAGGGGTTCACACTGTTCAAAAATCCATTCATTTCTTAGAAGCTTTAAAATTACTCAATTTTGCCCTGACCGGTTTGGCTCAGTGGATAGAGTGTCGGCCTGCGGACTGAAGGGTCCCAGGTTCGATTCCGGTCAAGGGCATGTACCTTGGTTGCGGGCACATCCCCAGTAGGAGGTGTGCAGGAAGCAGCTGATCGATGTTTCTCTCTCTCTATCCCTCTCCCTTCCTCTCTGTAAAAAATCAATAAAATATATATTTTTAAAAAATTACTCAATTTTCTCATATCCCTCTGACTGCTAACCGAAGTGTGAGCTCACAGAGGCCAGGAGGTGCTCTGGCCTGGCTCCCCGCCTCCGGGATGTGACTGCGGGTTTGCTGAAGTTAAACCACACAGACACTCCTCGTATCCACCCATTTCTCTACTTAAAGTGTTTGGCACAGCTGGGGTTGGGCAGTGAGTCCACCACGCATGTCAGCAGTGTTAGGGGCCCACGTCAATGCATGAAGGGAACTCCAATCAAAACCTATCTTTGGAAATCCCTTAAATCAACCGTAAAGTGGACTATATGTGATTACTGAATTGAGTCAAGACAAGCGAAGTTCTTCAAACAGTACCAGGAGCAGTGCTTGGTAAATTCCAGCTTCTATCACAATTACGAGAAGCCGTACACAGGCACCAGAGCAGCCAAACAGACGGATCACACTCCTGGTGGAGGACAGGAAAGGAGGCGTAATTGCTTTCTCGCACCTGAAGGCTTTAGCCTGCTCTTTCAACACATCCAATCTCAATGACCTGAACACACTTAAGAGATGTGACTGTCACTATTAGGCCCAGGAAAGATACAGAATGTGAGGCCCCTAACGGAGGGCGTTCAATCTACAACTTCCTTCAACAGATCCATTGCCTGTGTTCGTCGCAAGGCTGGAGGGCACGCTTTTCTGTTGGCCATTCTTGCCCCGGGCGCGCCCAGGCTGCCACCCTCCTGACCTTGGCACTGGTCTCGTGATCCTCGAGGGGTGTGGTTTCGGGTGGGCGGGAACAAGGGACAAGTTAAATCCGCATCAAGTGGCTCCTCTATCCTTTTTTCTTATTTAAAAAATATATTTTTATTGATTTCAGAGAGGAATGGAGAAGGAGAGAGAGATAGAAACATCAATGATGAGAGGAAATCACTGATCATCTGCCTCCTGCAGACTCCATACTGGGGATCGAGCCCACAACCCGGCATATGCTCTGATCGGGAATCAAACTGTGACCTCCTGGTTCAGAGGTCGACGCTCAACCACTGAGCCCACTGACTGGGCACGTGCCTCCTCTGTTCTTACCTGAGGAGTAGGAAGACGCGCGGCTGCCCGGAGAGCAGGGCACCTGCAGCGCCGCCCAGCCCAGGCATCGCTGGGAGCCCCTGTCCGAGTCCATGCTGCTCTGCGGGCTGTGGCCCTGCTCCTTCTGCCCGGAGGCCCGCTGGTACCAGCCGCGCAGGTGCTCCGCCACCAGGGCCTTGTGGATGTGCTTGGTGACGCGCTCCGAGCCCGCGGCCCTCCTGGGCAGCCGGAGGGTGGCATAGGGGTTATGGGGCACCCGGTCCACCTCGTCCTCATGGAAGGACCTGCTGTAGTCCCGCTGGCGGTCGTATGCATAGTGGACGGAGGAGCGGTAGGAAGGGTTGACACTGTACTGTCCCTCCGTGTCGTTCTCGTAGACGTAGCCGCCGCCGTAGTAAAGCTCACACTCCGCGAAGGGCGTGCACCCGATGTAGTAGGAGGAGGGCTGCTCGTGGCCCTGGGCGTGGACGCCGTTCCTCAGGCTGTCCCTCTGCGCCAGGTTGGGCATGCTCCCCGAACTCGACGGGGCGGCGCTCTGCTTCCTGGACCTCCTCCGTCTGCTGCTGCTCCGCTGGGACTTGCAGAGGGAGAAGAACGGCCGGTCGTGGTCCAGCTCGGACAGCAGGCGCGACTGGGACTCCAGGCTGCCACTCCGCTGGCGGCAGTGCTGAGCGGGGGGTTCGGGCCTGGGAGGAGAAAGGCAAACTTGTCAGACAGAGAGGAGGGCAGGGACCACACCAAGGAGAAGCCACGGGAAGGATTTCAGAGCTACGACCGCGACAGGACTTCCCCGGTTTCCCAAGCCGACCGTGCCCCAGAACCCAGCGCTCATCTCCATTCACGGCCATGGTCACGGTGAGAAAAGAACCAGGTCCTGTCAATTGTGTCATCCATCCACAACCTTTCCTGAGAAGCAGGAAGATAAACTGATGACACAAACCTGCATCAAAGCCGAAGCCCCCAGTCTCTGACAGGCCGGTCTTCCACAGGATGGGACACACAGGCTCCGGGCCTGGTGTGGGGCTCCGCCACCCCCCGGCTGGGCAGCACGGCCCGGTAGTCCACCTCTCTGACCCTCATGCCCTCCTCTAAAATGAGGACAGAAGCAGTGCCCGTATCTACCATCAGGCGTGCTGTGGGGACTAATACGGCGCATATAAAATAGCGCGGCCTTCAGCGAACACTTCAAAATGTCGCTACTGTCATGATCCCCATCCTCACCATTGCATAGCAGATGGTAGTATCTGGTTGGAAAGATTAAGGGGCAAAACATTACAATATTGACTTGGACATGATACATGTTCTTTGCCGACAAAAGTGAAACTGTGAGTAGAAATGTAGATCCATAAACTAGAGACCTGCTGCCCAAAGTCCCTTAAAATGATTACAAAACACAACAAAGTAAAACAAAACCTGAAGGCAAAGCTTAACAGAGCCCACGAGGCCGAGGGGGGTGCTCTTACTCTAAGTGGCTGCTGCTGTAGGCGTTGCGGGTGAGCACGGGGGTGGTGGGCATGCTCCGCCCGCCGGGGGGCCGCCGCTCCAGGGTTTTGTAAGGGCTGCTGTGTGTCGACAGCATTTCTCTGCGATGGAAACAGAATCCAGGAAATGATGAGTCTCCAACGTCTGGCAAACATGCCATAGCTGAAGGAAAGGGCGCCTGGCCCTTACTGTATACTCTTCTTCAAAACCTACTTAAAAACACTAAGTTATATCTAAAGTTCCATGTTGCTTAATATTTGTTTATAATGTTATTTTAATGACTATGTAAACGCCACTGCAAGGATTTACGATAATTCATTTAAACAATACATTTGGGCTGCTTTCAATTGGTCACTAATATAAACAACGCTGCAATCAGCATCCGATATTTAATTAGTTCAACAGGAAAATTCCCAGCCAGTGAAATGACTGGGTCAAAGAGCAAACTCATTTTAAGCTACTGGGGATGTGGGCATAATTTTTAAGATAATGATTGTTAGTTATAACTCTTCCTTGTGCTGAAATAGCTTTGTTTCCCGTGATGTGAGAAATGTGTATGCCTGTCCAGAGCTCCCGGGACTTTCTTCAGTGAGGGAGATGTGCGTGTCTGTGCTGTCCTAGCCTACAACACTAGCCACATGGGGCTGTTAGTACTTGACAGGGCTGGTGTAACCGAGAAACTGAATTTAAAATTTTATTTACTGTAATTATGTTGGCTAGCTGAGCTCTAGGCACTTGGATCTCTATTGTGTAAGGCGGTTTTTAAATGCCAACCCACAAACTGGGACTCATATGTGACAAAGGTTTTCACAGAACTTTGACAATTCAGAAACATAACCTCATATTGGTTTTACTTTCATGAGTAAAAAATTATTTAATCCAAATAATGATGATGGATGTATTTTTGATATTTATGTGTTTTTCTTCCCACATGAAATCATGGTGTTGTCTGTTTGACCATTCTGATTAGGCAATGCAAACAGCTGACTGGCATCCTATCTTGGGTCCCATTTAAAAAATGGGTATTAACCCGTAGCCAGATTTTGGGAATCCCTGCTCTGTCATCTTTTAAAAATCTGGTGTTATTACCTGATGATTTTTACCCGAGACACCGGAGAAAAATCTGTATTACCTATTTTATAGATTCTAACGAACTGAAGTCCTGTTTTCATCGGAAAGGTCATGTTGGTCTCACTACTTGGTTGGGTGAAATGATATTTCATGACAGTTTCCTGACAGCATGGCTATAAAACTGGACTTTACCCAAATCCAGATTATAATCAATGTCCTTATAATTAAATGTAAACCTTTAAATACAAGAAGTAGCCAAACGTTTCTTAAAAGCACTCTTCCACTTGTGTCGCCACAAATAACCGGGCTAGATTCTGTTTCGGCCTTACAAAATAGCCCTCTGAAAGGATGGAGAGGACGAGACCAAAGTGGGCTGGCCACTTTGGAGAAAAGACCCAAGGCCGCGAGCCTCTGCCCTCGTGCTGGTGTGGCGCTCACCTGGGCTGCCTGGCATCCAACAGCTGGTCACCGATGGACGACTTTCTTAAGTGGATTCGCTCAATGCCCAGAGACTTGGGGGGAAGAATTCTTGGAGAATGAGGTACTGAACTCGATCGCTGCCCAGCAAGAGTGAAGGTGTCATTGGCTATAAGAGGTAAATGAATGAATGAATAAGTAGGTAAGTAAATAAGTGAATAAATACTGTGCAAACACCCCAGGAAAGAAATGAGAAGATCTGGTGAGAAAGTGTTCCTCCAATGATGATGATTTCAGAAGCACATGGCTTTCAGGAGATTTATTTTTACATTTTATACACTGCAGAAAAGAAATGACTGAACACTCTGTGGGGCCTGATCCAACATCGCCAATTCAGTAAATGACTTAGGTGGAATGGTGATACTATAGGTTTTGTATCACAGAAAACCCCAGTGTGTAAAGGGCCAAGAGGAAGTTGTTTAACTTTCCTTTTGAAGTTCTTAGGCCTCTTTGGCTGCTGAAGGCTCATCCTGTCATTGGAGGTGATGCAACTGATCTACGCTGAAGACTGAAGACTGGTCTCCCACTAAGATTTGTATTTTGAAAGAGGAATGCCAAGTCTGACCAAAACAAAGCTCAGCTCAAAGGAAGATTCTGGAATGGTGCCACTTCACACACCATAAACCTGGGGGGAGGTAGAGCAGTGGGGGTCAAGGGCTCCCCCAAATTACTTAAATCCCATCAGATAGAGGGCCACTCCTTGGCTGGAGTGCAAGGGATTACAAGGAAACACGGTGTCACCGCACATGAAACCCACTCCATCATGAAATGTGTTGAACAAACACAACAGTGTGCTGTGATACAACCCAACACATAGATACAACTTTGTTTCTATGAAACCGACATAGTGACATGTAACCCAATTTCTAAAATGTGTATTTCTTCCTAAGGAAAGTAATAGACTGCCCGTTATCCAGAATACAGTGACAATCGCAGTCTACACTATAATTTCCTTGTTTGATTTTGGACTCCAAATGTATAAAATGTCACCACCGGGAAAGTCTGGGTGAAGGTCTCCATATTATTTATGTAGATGTATAGTTACTTCAGGAAGAAGTTAAAAAAGTCTACAGAGCCTTACAAATCCTTAGCGAGAAGCTCGCTCACTCATGCGATTTGCAGCCCTGTGATGTGGTGCCAGCCTGTGGAGAAGGTCATTGTAATCCCCCTCCCAGCCTCTCTGCACAAATGCAGGTGAGTTCATTCTACTGCTCCCTAAAGAATAAGTAGGCTGCAGTTAACTAAAAAAAATTATCTTCTTACTTCAGAATAGGTAATATTTTAAACCGAAAAAGGGGAGCTACTTACGATCATCACAGGTGGTAGTGTCGGACAAGGAGCTGCTTTCTGAGGGGATTATGTCTTCTGTGAATAACAATGACGGCCGTTAGTATAACTGCACATTTACACACCCACCGTGAGCTTAATAAAGCAATTCCTGGGGAGTGCATCTTAGTTAGATAAGTGTAACAGTACGTTAAGAATAATTACCATAAGAATGGACCCAGTTACTACGGAAGATGTGAGCATCTCACATGCTGCATACATATGACATTGGACTATTTCTTAGAATGAAACAGACTTCAAGAGAGTTTTGTTTTTCAACTAGTTTTCATCTAGCTTCTACACGGGCGAGAACTTTACCCTACACACTGTTTCCAGCCCACACACTGGAAAGAAAAATCATGCCGTTCATGTCATAAATGCTAAATGCTATGGAACATACACCTGAACGCTCATTTGAGAACCTGCTGTTAGTGTAACGTATTTCTAGACCCCTCTCCTGAAGAAAGGGGCCTTTTCTTAATTGAGCTGGACTCTTGGTGGTGCATTCGCTTTTCAAGTAGACCAGGGTCTCTGAGTGCGGCTCCGCTGACCTGTGGACTGGGGAATTCTTGTTGGGGGAGTTGTCCTTTGCTTCAGGATCTCCAGTGTCCACCCACTGGACACCCACACACCCCACCCTCTGTGTTGACAATAAAAAAATTGCTTTGGACATGGCCAAATGTTCCCTGGGGGCCAACACTGTCCCTGGTGGAGAATCGCTGAATTAGGCAGACCTGTGTTCAAATCTTGGTAATTAATCTCTCTGAGCATCATTTGCCTCAATTTAAAAATGGGATAAGAACAGCGCCCAGTGAACATTAAATGAAGTAATGGATGGAAAGCCTTTAGCCCAGCCCTTGGCACAGGACGAACGCTCACTACACATTAGCAAACTTACCACTGTTGTTACTTAGAGGCGGGGTCCTGGTGAGAGAACTCTGGTGGTTGGAAACGCCCTAGCGCTCTCAGTGTTAGTGGTGCCCACCAGTGCAAAGAAATGTCTGAGCAAAAACCTCCAAGGAGCTGGTCTGCGTTGGCAAACCAGTCCTGCTCAGTGTCAGGCACTGGTAAGATTACAGGCAAATGAGACACCTCAGTGGTAGTCCCAAAGCCTTATGTAGTGGGCCTCCCCATCCAATCTCAAATGTTAATCTCTTTCAGAGCCAGGTGGACTCTCTCTTAATTGGACACACGGTAGAGCCAGAAGGCAAGGTGCCAGCAGAGTCAGCTGTCAGACACACGTAAAAAAATCTACCCACTGGCATCAGCTGCTGCCCAAGTGTCCGTCGCTGTTGAGAGCACTTGAACCCTGCACGATCTGGGAGGAACAGTCACAGCAAATGCGATGAGAGTCAAGGGCACTGACCAGCCTTCTCTGTGAGCACGGAACACAGACCCCCCCAGGGCCAGCTGGTGTGCACACAGCCGCCCTCAGTTCTCCAGCTGGAGCTGGCTGACACATGGTGCTGAAGTCTGTGCCCTCACTTTCCAAAACGACTGGCCCTAAGCCCGAGGACCCTTTCAACCCACTGACCATATTTTGTCAAATCTAAGCTGTATAATTATTTCATATCCCAGTAAAATAAGAAAAAGTTACTACCGATCATAACTGTAGTACTGTCTAGGATAAGTATTATCCCAATTTCACAGATGTTTAAATGTGAAAAATAATTCTTAGAATCAAAGAAATATAATCAGGTTTCAACCAATGGTCAAGACTAAAAACCATGCTAATAAACATGTAGGGCTGACTGGAATTGAAATCTACCTAAATGAGATTTTTCAATTTACTTTTTTTTCTGAACATGAAAGTTTTAGATACATAATATTGAGAATTTTGAAAGTACAGCAGAGTGCTAAACAGAAAATTAAGTTACTTAAAATTCCACAACTATTATGTACTTTAAAATATTTCACAAGTCTTGTGTGAACATCTATATATATATATAAAAAGCCAGCGACCAGAACACTGTAACAACCAGAACGACTGGTCGCTATGACACCCACTGTGGCCAGCAAACCTGCCTGATGGGGAGTGGGACTGGCTGGCCAACCTCCCAGCGCCCCTTCCCTGGCCGCTGACCCCCAATTGGTCCCCCCACCCCAATTGGGGGCAGGGCCCGCCAGACAATTGCCAGTGGCCCCTCCCCCCAGCCTGCCAGGCCCTGATTGGGCCCCAATTGGGGTGGGCCGGCCAGCCAATCTCCCGCTGTGTCTTCCTCCCGACAGGCCTGGCCCCGATCCACCAATTGGGGCCGGGCCAGCCAGACCTCACCCGTGCATGAATTCGTGCACTGGGCCTCTAGTAATTATATAATGTTGGGAGTATGCTGCAGTGACAATTTTGTAGCTTGCCTTTCTGCATTTCCTGTTATAGTATGAACATTTACCCATATCTTTAAGTAGCCTCCATAATGACAGTAATTGTGAGAACTCTTTCCTAGCCACATAAGTTGGATAGGCTCTTACAAAACTGTACAGTCTGCGGCATTAGAACCTTCAGGAAACTACAGCTCTCTTCTCCTCTGATTTGGCGAATGTGTTTCTTGCAATGACATCAGCTCAGTTAAAGGTGAATCTGTCTTACTGCGAACTAATATTGTAGTGAAAGCTCTTTTATCCCGAAAACTAAAGCAACATAATAATATAGTATTATTACAACAGTGATAATGTCATTGAAAACCAAGTTTACGTACTTGTAAGACTGAAATTCCAAACCATTTTTATCCCAAGGGTCTTGGCGACGGGACAAAAAACTTGACTTGTTACTAACCTGGTAAGGGAGTCGGCTTCTTCCCACACCGAATTCGGTATTCATTTATTGCGTTTTCAATCTCCTGCAGCTTTCTCACTGCATCTGTGAAATCTTGCTTTCGTTTTTTCTTCACGGTTTTACACAGGTCTGGCTCATTGGCAAGTTTCTTTGCAGCTTCCACCAGCTTTTGCTGTATTAGGAAATTGCTCTCCAGCTCTTGCAAAGCAGGGTCCTGCATTTACACAACGATGCTGTTTCAGTTCTGTGGACCCTCGCTCACGCTCACACGTACTGGCACTGAGTCAGACTTCTCGTGCATTCTCAAACCAGATGCTCTCTGGGAATAAAATCTCCTGGTTTCACTGCACAGGTAGCCTCAAAACGTTCCTCATCCGTTTACATCAACTCCTCACCCTCTTTCCCTTTCAAAGAAGGGAATGGCCTTTCATTTATTTAGTGGGTGGGTAAAGGTCCTATTTTTCAAGAAGGGATTCTTAACCCAAGAGTCAGAGATGCAGAAGGTTGTTTTCACAGGCATAGCTTTACAGACGTAAATTTGGGGTTGATTCCTTTCTTTGGGGGTTCCTGACTGTATGACCCCAGGCACACTGCTTAATTCTTTAATGATTCAGTTTCTTTTTATTGTAAAATGAAAGTAACATCTACCTCACACAAGTATATGTGCATTCTTAGTGTAGAGCTGGGTATACAGTGAGCACTCAATAAATAGCAAAGCTCACTCTATTATTGATGGGAACTGCTATCATTTTCTAAAGTCAAGATGGGTAAATTTCTATAAGAAACGAGGAAGGCCACATGAAAACATGCAATGAGAAAGCACATTCTCTGTGGGCTAACAAATCTGCGGCCTTTGCTCTACCTGCGTGCCGGACACGTATTACCTCACTGAATGCTCCTCGCCTCCCTTGGTGGGAAAACAAGCACTGCACCCCCATTTTGTAGGTGGGAAAACGGAGACCTGAGAATTAAGACTTCAACGAGGGAAAAGTATTTGCCAAAGGCTGCTGCCTAGTTTGAAGTGGAAGAGTCTAATGCCAGCATTCTTAATTCTTACGTTTCTCAGTTTATGAACATTTGGGGTTTGATGAGTGCTCTCTGTGTTTGGAAGAGTAATAACAAGTTTAACTGAGCTGTGCAGAAAAGAAGGAATTCCATTTGGTCTCTATTATCACTTTCAACTGGTGAGATAAAAACGCACCAACTCAAAACCAACCGCCCGAGTGGCCCACGCTCGGCAGACAGCGGCTCTGTCTGTTCACAGAAACGGCGGCTGGTGCTCATACCTCTTCACTGGGGAGCAGGTTGTCATCTAACTTGAATGCGGTGCCCACGCGCTTCCTGACCTGCGGAGGCTTCTCACCGATGCCCAGCGGGTACTCCTTCGGCATTTTGCCTGTGAGCTCCTGCGGAACAGAACAGAGCGACAGGACGATGGACGCTGGCCGGAGCTGCCAAGTGCCATTTGAAGAGCCCCCCAAAGAGAAGAGACTCACAGCCTCCCGCAAACAGATCTTCTTCAGCTCCTCAACTTTTTTCAGGAGCTTTTCTTGTAACAGCTTTTCCTTCTTCTTGAGTTCTAGGATTTTCTCTCGCTTTTGCTCCTCACTCACTTCCGAGTCTTGAGAACCTGGGGGATTGGAAGTGGGGGCAGGGAAGGTTTACCCAGGGGATGTTTCCTTCCTTTTCAAAGGACAAAGGATTTTAAAGCCAAATCTGCTATTAAATAGTTTATTTCTTTTCTCCTTGTTCGTGAACATAATAAAAGGAAACGGGAGAACATTTTCTCATGCTCCTGGGCATCCAGCGGAGCCTGGTAATGAAATGTGCCTTCTGCGTTTTGGCTGTCATTTTTGGAGCAGTAATAAAATGCTTAATGTCCTAGACACACTCGAGGACAAAATTAACTTTTCTGAGCAGGTGAGATGTTCCTTGAGACAGCTGCTTAGAATGTTCTTTCAGAAAGCAAGCGAGCAAGGCAAAGGGATAGTCTGTGCGTCAGATGCACAAGTTGACTGTGGGATTTTAATGGGAAAATGCATTTTAGCGAATACTTAGTGACAAAAGGTTCCAGGACTTCTTGGGAGGAATAAGAAGCTGATGGACTTTATCAGGAGAAAATGTCCTTTTAAGCTGCCCCTAGGCACTCACTGTCTCTGCATCTGGTGTTACTTATGCAACCTGACTATATTTAACTTTATACTTTTTGAAACCAGTTTAAAATTTTTATTAAAAACTTCTGCATACTGTAATTTAGGTATGCTTATTTATTCCCCAAATAATGGGTTAAAAGATTCATTTAAAAGTGGTTTAAACAACAACAATAGAAGTGAAATAAACTAAAGATTGCTGCGCTCTCGCTAACCCCGCCGGTTACCTGAGGAGATCAAGCTGCCATTGCTGGCCATAATGAACTGGCTTTTTGCCTCCAGAGTGACCAGTTTGGAGGTCCTCGGGGCTCCCATCTCTGTCAAATCCATCGCGATGTCGTCTAAACTTCTGGCTGAAGGAATTTTTGCCTAAAAGGTATACAACATTGTGATGGGATTCACTCAATCAAGCCTCTGTCAAATTAATGAGTAAATTACTATAGAATAAAAATGTCAACATGGAGGACAATTTAGAATTTTTATACATATACTAAAATGATACTCTTCAGAAGAAACAAGACTTAGGCTTTGTAGCTAAACATATTTATAACGATGCATGATTGTTACGGCATAGTTCAATCATTAACTTTAAAACATTACCAGTCTACATATACACACAATATTTTTAATCCTCACCTAAAGATATATCTTTGTTGATTTTTTAAAAAATATTTTTATTGATTTCAGAGGGGAAGGAAGAGGGAGAAAGAGAGAGAAACATCAATGATGAGAGAGAATCAGTGATTGGCTGCCTCCTGCATGCCCCCCATGGGGATCGAGCCCACAACCCGGGCATGTGCCCTTGACTGGAATTAAACCTGGGACCCTTTAGTCCATAAACTGACTCTCTATCCACTGAGCCAAACCAGCTAGGGCTATTTTTATTGACTTTTGGGGGGGGGGGGGGAAGAGAGAAAGAGAAACATTGATCGGTTGCCTCCCATACAAGGCACAACTGGGGATGGAATCTGCAAACTAGGTATGTGCCCTGCCTGAGAATCAAACCCATGACTTTTTGGTGTATGGGATGATGCCCCAACCAACTGAGCCACCCAACCAGGGGAAATCTGACAACTTTTGAATCAGGTTCTATATTGCTCTTTTTTTAAATATAAGAAAAATTAAAACAGTTGGTAGTAAAGTTTTAAAAAAAACCCTACGAGAACAAAAAACGATGTGCTTTCATCTTTTCTGAGAATGCTCATCTTTTAAACAGGAAGCAAATGAGGGGCAGGAGCTTATTCCTACAGAACCCCGTCTAGTCACTTACTTTGCTTTGCTTTCGGTCCAGGTAAAACTGGTGCTGACTGATGGCCATCACCCAGATGGACTTGATGAGCGAGGAGTGTGCATACCAGGTTTGCACAAAGAGGCCGCTTTGCCCAAAGGTCCTTCTTGATACCGAAATCCTGAAGATGAAGAAAAGCACTCAAACCGCTGGCTTCTGGCCCAGCATGGCACGAAGTTTCCAGTGAGTAATGTAATAACATCTCCCTCGTTGTTTTCCTGCCGCCACCCTCATGCTGACAGCTCTGAGTTTCTCCTTTCATGACAAAGCCCATCACCCTAGGTAATAACTCTCTGTAAAACTAGTGTATTAAAAAATGCATGCACACACTCAAAGGCAGGTAAGGTTAGTCAAATTAGAAGCTGTGCTAAAAACACGCAGCGAAAACCGCCACAAGCAGGCGGGAGTAAATGGGAGACTATTTTAAAGACAGAAACGTGGGGATCAGCACTTTCCTCAGGGAAAGAACATCGAGGCTCTAGACCAGCGGTCCTCAACCTGTGGGTCGCGACCCCTCTGGGGGTCGAACGACCCTTTCACAGGGGTCACCTAAGACCAGCGGAAAACACATATATAATTACATATTGCTTTTGTGATTAATCACTATGCTTTAATTATGTTCAATTTGTACCAAGGAAATTGGGGGTCACTACAACGTGAGGAACTGTATTAAAAGGGTCTCGGCATTGGAAGGTTGAGAACCACTGGTCTAGATGGACTTGTCTGACTCGGCACCATCAGAGGATGGACATAACGATGTTGCCTGAGAGTTCCCAAGTCCAAACCTGGTCCAGACGGCTGCCTGTGCACACACCAGGTGAATCGGAGGACAGGGTGAAAGGAAGGAAGGATGGGGGAGGGGAGGGAGAGAGGGACCAACGTTCATTTGTAGGAATTCAGGTCATCATTTTGTGAAGGGCTGTTTCCCCCATCCCCGTGTCCTCCGAATAGCCATAAATGTATCAGCTTGGAGAAACGACAGTCCTGACTTTCATTAATGGTGATCACTTGGCAGCTGTATTTTAAAGTGATCAGGAATACTCAATTTCAAAATGAGCAAGGGATCTGAACTGAGATATGCAAATGGCCAATGAGCACATGAAAAGATGCTCAGCCATCATCAGTCATGAGGAAAATGCCGCTTCCCACCACGAGGATGGCTGTTAAAGAACAACTCAACTAAAAGTAACAAGTGTTAGGGAGGATGTGGCGACAATGAACCCATATGCACTGCTGGTGCGAATGGAAAACGGTGTCGCCGCCTCGGTAAACCTCCGCGGTTCCTCCAAAGGTTAAAGAGTCAGCCCTCACTCAACAGCTCCAGCCCCAGGTACAGGCCCAGGAGAAATACCCACACATCCGCGCAAAAGCTGCAGGTGAATGTTCGTAGCATCCCTCAGAGAGCCCCCGGGACCAAGCAGAGGGAAAGCTGGGACCCTCACCTCCGTGGGTCGTGAACTTCAACAGCAAATTTTTTCTCACGGAAATATAAGTTCTCCAGCTGTTTCCACTGGAACAGCTAATAAATTAAGAAAACACAAAAACACATATGGCTTTAATTTATGTTAAACTTTACTGCATCTAGAAATCAGCTCAATGAAAAAAATAATCAAGAAGGCACACTGACAGTAAGCACGAACATGTGGTGCGGTCTTTTTACAAACCAACGACAACCTGAAACCATTTTATCCCTCCTTTTGACAGTAATTTCCACCAACTCTTCCTTGAACAATAAAACTACGCACCGTGGGGAACAGGCACGCTCTTTCCCCTGTGACTCAACGCGATGAGAGGTGGTAAGGAAATCCTCCCAGGTTCCGGTAAGCACATGCCTCCTGATCAAAGATGCTGATTCACATTTAAATGGAAAGATATTCAAAGGGACTGAGGGTTCAGTAAGACCACGGATTACATTTCAAAGGAAAGCAAAGTGAAAGTAAGCCAGAACCCCCAGCAGGGGCGATTCTCCACCACCAGTTTCCTTGCCCACGAGTGTTCCCCTAAATGGGGCAGAAACCAGGAATTGGAGGCGGGGGTGGGTGGGGGTGAAGGTGCAGAGCCCCTTGGTGCCTGAGCCGGAGCCTCCGGGGTTTGTAACTTCCACATCCCCACTGCTGACGCTCTAATGCGGCCCCAGAGCTGTTTGCCAGTTGATGGCGAAGAGACCCTCCTAGCAATGTGCTTTTGAAAGCCACACAACTTGTAAAAGGCAGCTCGTCACACAACTCATTTCCTGGCCCGTGACTCATGTCAGACCTTGTGCTAGCCGGAGCCCCGTCTTATCTCTTGGACTTCATAGAATTCCTCTACTCCGACCCTAGTCTTGATTATTTGGGAAATGATAGCACAGTGGTTTCATTCCATTACTAGACTTTGGCTGGGTTTTTAACATACGTTCAAAGAACCTTCATAGAGCATTTTAATGATCCAAATAACTTCTCTGCAACGCACTATCAGTAGAACCATTTCCTGAAGCACAGGAACCCAGGTATTCACAGACATGTCAGCTCATGCGAGAACAGCGTGCTCTAAGGGTCCTGCCCACATGCAGCCAAAAGTGTTCAAACAGGAGACAGAAGTGTCCCAGCGAGACCCGCCATCCCAGCAGGGAAGCCACCAGCCCCCGGGGCACAGCGGCCAGCTCCAGCCGTCGCCCAGGCGGAAGGACTAGTGAAAGCTGAAGCTACGTACCGGTTTCCTAAAATGTCCATGGATGTGAGGCTTTCATTTCTTTTAATCCAGAAGTTCCCAAAATGGGACAGAACTGTGAGGGAACCCCTCGGGCTCTATCCACCTCCCTCCCGGACGGCAGCCGGGTGAGTCTGAGCGAGTTTCCTAAGACTTAGGCGTGACTCAGTTTCACACAGTGAGCCTCCCACGGCCGGCCGCCTCGCCGGCAGACAGCAGCCGCTCTTATCTGGGGACACCTCCCCGTCCCCCTCCTTCCTCCCACCGACCGGTGGGAGAGAGCAAAGTTCTCACTGGCAGGCTTTCCCGGAGAGAGACTCGGCTTTAAGGGGGTACAGTGTCCATGCAGACGATCTTCCCGGGGAGTAAGTGGCTCTGGGCGCAGGTAGATTTCAGCCGAGCGGCCCGGGAGCCATTTCTACCTGGTTACTCACCCGGGGCACCAACAGGTTCTACAGGAAGAGCCACAGCGAGCGCAGCTGGGTTTCCCTTCACGTCCATTCCCACACACATGAGAACCAGGCCGGGCTGGAAACCCGATCTGCCAGCACCTCCCCCAGCACTCGCCCGCTGAAATCCTAGCGCCTGGCGCCTGGCCTCCACTCAGCCGTCCCTGCATGGGGCCAACAGGCCACTTCCCTACCTGAAACCTTAAAGTTTCTGCAAAAAGTGATTTCATGGCTGTGCCTGTGAGAGCGACTTGGGATGACAAACTCGATTTGTGACAGTGGGTGCCCTTAGGGTGGGGACAGCAGAATGTACAGGGGTAAGTGGTACAGAAAACTACATTACAGTAATATCTCACTTCTTTTATTAATAAAAACAAGATGAAGTGAATATGATAAAATATTAGTAATCGACCATTTAAGTGGTTATATAGGTGTTGGCATTTTCTTAGCACTATATTTTTCAAAGAATTAAAAGAAATGAACATTTCTCAAATTAAAGCAATATGCTTACATAAAACGAACATAGGTCAGTCTACTTTATGCAAGAGCGCTTGTCCACCCCCTAAGCATTCAGAGGCCTCTATTTTAGACACTATTATCATTATGATTATCAGTGATTGGGATGTGAGGAAAATACTGTTGGTTGCAGCCGCCCTAGAGCCAGCTGGCAGCTGGAGACAGGCTAGCTGTTCTTTGGAAATTTCTGGAATCGTTCTTCCTTGTGCCTTTATATGACATTTGTGCTCCTGATCTCAGAAAGGCAGATGGAGTGGCAAACGGCAATGGAGCTGGGGCGGATGGTTCATTTACTGGACGGGCGATCACCCAGTCAGCACTCCCGGGCAGCGCCGGCACGCAGCAGGCCGCTAACTCATTTTCATTCCCTTGCTTTCTGCCACTGTTTCCCTTAAAGGATAAATCAGAGCCCCTCCACAGCCCACGTCAAAATCATAAGATTTCAGACCAATGAAAGGAAAAGGGGAAACTGGACAAAGAAACATCCCCAGCTGACCTGACGGTGTGGCCGCCCCACTGAGAAACGCTCATGCAGTAGGCAGCACTCTCAGTCACCGGGAGTGTGAGGGCCCAAAGAGACCATCCTGCATTCGAGGAAAGAGGCGAGAGCTCGAAGGCGAAGGAACCGACCTTCTGTCATGTGTAACAGTTGGTGCCCATATAAGGTAGGACTATTACCAGGCATAATGTCTTAGGGTAGGACAAGATTATTATATATATTATTTATGCACATGTGTGTATACGCACACACATTTGAAATTTTCATATTAAAATTGAACACAATATTTAGTCCAAGCCAAAATTACCATTCTCAGAGATCTAAAAGAAAAAAATGAGTTTTGTTTGCCTTGCAACACAAAGGTAAGAGTATGAAACTAGACTGCTTTATAAAGTGATCATTCAACAAGCATAATAACAACCGTTTGTTAGTATTTATTATTGTTTCGTTGACACTCTCTAGTAGCTATAAGTTAGAAATTATGCTTTTTTGGGAATCTATGGTGGAAATATTATATGACAGAAATAAAGCTACATGTTAGGTCGTCCAACTTTCTTTCTAACCTACACCCGTCTAGAATGATCCATCGTGCCCTTCAGCCTCCAAGGAAGGAAGTAGATGACAACAGAGGAAATAATAGCTGGGATTAACTTTGAGACTGCAAAATAAATAGACAGGAAAGGTAGGAAAAGGAAAAGAGGAGCAATAGAACAACGACTTTAACAAAGAGATCATCAAAAAGCTACAACAGGAAGAGAACACATCCTCAGGTCAGTAAGCATCCTGCCTTACAAAAGAAAGTGACAAAAATTTAAAAACTGATACAAAACCAAAGCAGAGTCAAACCCTATTTGAGAGCTACATTACCAGTCATATTTTACCTCTTTTATTAAGTATGCAACATGTAATCACAATAATCCTCAGATGTAAAGGAAGTTGATGGTTCCAGAAAAACTTGCCACCCATTATTACACTTTATTTAATGAAATGCATGGGTTGGATATTTAAGCCGTTTTCTTGAAATCTACCCTCAATTACTGTAAACTTAAAGAACCAGAAGAAATCACCTCTTCCCCATTCCCACCCCACGATCTCGGTGGTTCCCTAAACCTGAAATTAGTGTCCTGCTGGAAAGAAAGGCTGCAGGAAAGCACGGGGACTTTCAGGAGCCTCGGTGATGCACACGATAGTGGCTTGTGGAACCATTTACTCATTCTTCTCGAATCGACCAATGTTTCTGTCTGCCTTCTATGTGAGCAGTTCTGTTCTTGTTGGTGAATCATGGCCAGGTCCCCTCTCTCGTGGGGCTTACCTGAACCAATGGGACCCAGTCAGACTGCCTTGGTTTGCATCCCGGTTCCACCACTCGTGTTTTTTAAAAAAATAAATATATTTTTGTTGATTTCAGAGAGGAAGGGAGAGGGAGAGCGCGATAGAAACATCAATGATGAGAGAGAACCATTGACTGGCTGCCTCCTACACGCCCCCACACTGGCGATTGAGCTGCAACCGGGGCATATGCCCTGCCGGGGATCGAACTGTGACCTCCTGGTTCATAGGTCAACACTCAACCCCTGAGCCACGCTGGCCGGCCCACCACTTGTATTTTATTCGGCAAGTGCTTAAGTTTCCTGAGTCTCAGTTTCCTTACCTGTAAAGTGGGACCAACAGCGCCTGCCTCACTGGAAGGTCCAGTGAGCTTATGCTTATGAGACACTTAGCCCAGTGCTTGGCTCGGAATAGATGTTTGGTAGTGACAAAGCTACTTGTACTGTTCGAAGGCCCTCAGTCCAGTCCCTGAATTTGATCATGCCCTTATGCAGATGGAGGCGGCCACTTAGTAGCAGGCACAGAACGAGAAGCAGCTTCTGGATCCCAAAGCTGCCTTTCCACTGGTGAGCAACAGCCAAGTTATTTGTTGACACACCTGTATCACTCAGGCTTCCAATTCTGTGAGTTTCTGTAAAAACTGCGGTATTTCTGTTGATTTTATCAGTGGTTTCTGAACACACCCTCTAGGTAGGAAATGTGTTCACTGATCCTGCACCATGGAGGTCACAGAGGAGGAGGGAGTGGTCAAGGCACGCCTCCACCCCAGGGGGACGCCACCTCCCTCCGGTCTCGGTGCTCAGTGCAGGAACGTGCCCCGGCAGGTGCAGAAATGCTGAGTGCACCTGCCGCCGGCCACAGGGACCTCCTGGGTTTTGAAAGACAGAAAAAGCCTTTGGACAGAATGGATCAGAGTGTCTTGTTGAACCTTGACAAACAAAGTAGACACCACCCAAAGGTTTAACACTAGGCAAGGACAGGAGAGATGTCACTGAGGCTTTGACAAAATACATATACAGTGGAACCTCGTTTCTTGGA